TGGACTCGAGTGCTAAGTGGACGTAATTGAGTAATGAAGAGCTGCAAAACTATTTGTTACATAATGCTCCCTGTTCTGTAAATTAAGGAAGCACACATAATAATAATTATTGGGGAACACAAAGAATATCTTTTTCAATAACCAAGAAATCGCATACCAATATTTTTCAATTCGAATAGTTTTAAAAAAAGTTACCTTATTACATAAGGGCTTTTAATTATAGTCCGTTTTTTATGCAGAATCATTCGCGATTCATTAGGAAATCTCGTAAAGCTGATCATCACTGCGCAGCAAACTTTTGTCCCCTTTGCATGGGTATGAATATCAATAATTGAATTTCATTGGGGAACGATGGAGCTTGAGTTTTATTGGGGATTGATGGAGTTGGTGGGCACTGAATGACCTCTCACCCTGGCAAAAAACGCAGAAAATAAATGAGGACGTTGCCTGCCAGAAGCAAGCAAACCGTTTTTATGGGCCTGTTATTATGTTATCAGCCACAGCTCGCATTTCTCTGGGTGTTGTTGATGGCTGTAGGTACTCGGTACGAGGTGCCAAAGCTTATCATAACATATGCAATAATAATCCAGTGCCATTTGCCACAACAGCGACGACCACAAAATACGACATAAACTTTTATAATAAACCCGAAATGTGGCCGCAGTATCGGCCGGCGGCTCCCAGGCTTTGTTGCCTTTAACGTTTATTGTTTTTCCCATCCTCGATTTTGACCCATCTACATCTGCACACACACTCGTATATCCACATAAAGGCTTATCCCGGCCAGAGCCCCATTGATAGGCATTTCCCCCATTAGGGAAAATTATTGATGGCAGCCAAGTATCGGTTACCGATTCTTGTGGATGTTTCAAGGTCACATAAATGTTTAAGAGAATGACAGATGCTTTAGCTAATGGGTGCCTATTAAAGAATTTTTTCAAAAATCGTGTAAAATAAAAAAAATAGCTACAATATTTAGCGACCAAAATGATAATTCTGAAATGATGTTTTATGTGCAGAAAACTTGTCTAAAAATCTTAACCCTTGTCAGTGCTTGGGGATGGTTTTTTAATTAATTGGGAAAATCTTTCCTGATCTTGGCAAATTTTAATACACCACCCTCAAGACCTAGCTGACCAAGTTTTGACTTAAGCTTAATCAACAATAACAACAGCAATATTTCTCCCTAAAATGTGTATATCAAATTATTATCCTTAAGCAACACTGAAGACCCAATGTTGCCAATTGAGTAGCAGTGCGCTAATACTAGCTTACAACATTAAATTTCACTCAAGAGATTGATTTTTTAATATAGATGCTATGGTTTAAGAAAATTTGTTAAAAACCTTATGAGACGCACGCATAAATTGGACGTTAAAGAACACTAGCATACAAAGCAAAATCTATTTTATCTTTTACACTCAAAGACGGCGCCATTTCAGAAAAAATTAAAACTATTCGCTTACCATTACCGTTTTTGAAAACTAAGGAAAATACAGAAGCCATATATGTAAAAAATGCAGCTATTATTGTTATTCAGCATAACATATGCAATATTAATTAGAATACATATATTTGAGACTTTTTTATCGAAAATGTAATATAATTTCGAAAAAATAACACTTTTTATACCCTTGCAGAGGGTATTATAATTTTGGTCAAAAGTGTGCAACGCAGTGAAGGAGACATCTCCGACCCTATAAAGTATATATATTCTTGATCAGGATCGCGTCCTGAGTTGATATAAGCATGTCCGTCTGTCCGTCTCTCAATTTTAAAGATATCGAATTGAAACTTTGCACACACCCGTCTTTCCTATGCACGCGGTATATAAGTTGGCCGGGATCGGCCGACTATATCCTACAGCTGCCATATTACTGAACTATTGGAAATGACATAACTTTGGTGTTTTTAAAGTTAGGAAGTTGGGATTTTGTATGATCATTAAGAATGCATCATATAAATAATTTTGGAGAATATAATTTACAGAGTATTCTGCAAGGGTATCTCAACTTCGGCTCCGCCCTAAGATAGCTTTCCTGTCTTGTTATATCTATCTATTATATCTATATTAAATTTATTTAATGAAAGCTTTCTGTGACATGTAAACAAACGTTTACAGGTAATAAACAAACTTTTTATTTAATTATAAATAACCCCTTTCATAAAATACCATTACCAAAACCTAAGCTAGCATCTGCCTTCCAAAGAAGTATGATTAATGAATTTATACTTAAAGTTATAAAATGGGATATAACAATATTATATTCCCAATTAAACTAGTTTAGATTATAGAGACTTTGAGTTAGGAAAAGTACAGCAATGGAAGTTCGATTGTGTTTTATAGTGACGGGAACGCTTTCTTCTACACTGTTTTGTGTTTTAGTGTCGTGAATAAGTACCTGATTACAGCTGTATATGTGAACCACTAGCTCGGTGGTTTATAAAGCGTTAAAAGGACACTGTTCTGGTGACATCACTCCTCCTCTCTACTTGTACCGCCTTTAAGCCGCTCTTGACATTCGGTCGGATAATGGCCGTTGATGCTTTGACGCTGACGAATTATCTCCTGACTTGGCAAGCTGTTGGCCGGCCCGATTATTAATGTAGAGCAATTAGTGTAGAGTCATGTTACACTGCCACAACAATGTCAAAATGTTTAGCCTACCTTTATATCAGAGATTAAGTTTTGAACAAATTTAGCATCACCTTAGCGTTCGAGACGACCAAAAATAATATCACTCACCGAAAAAAAAGAAGAATGAAGAAAAAGTACAAGTAAAAAAATCTGTTCATTCTTTTTCATCAAATAAAAGTTAAATATTATATTAGATAAATATTTTATTAGACAAGTACAACTATTAATTAAGCTTTGAACAAATTTAGCACCATCTAGCGTTCGAGACAATCAAGTAATATTACTCAGCGAAAAAAAAAGAAGGAATACAAGTGAAAAAAATCGGTTTATTCTAATGTTATAAAAGTTATATGTTTTTATTACACAAATACAACTATTAATTAACTTTAAGGAAACCAAGTCATTAGTCATTCTTAAGAACTTGCGGTACATGGCTGACACAAATATTCGGCTAACGGCTAAGTAAAATAAACACTGTCAATAAAAGTAATATTTTAATTAATTGGTCGACTTAAGAGAAATTTTATTTTTAGAGTAGAAAAATTTATTGAGTGTAGGGCATTTGAGAAATCCTGTTATTCCTTAATTGCTCAATGGGTTTAATTAACCTGTCAGAATGGAGTGGTGCCAAGCGGAGAGCGATTTGCTTGCATGACCAAACATCAAAAGACTGGACTCGGCAGGACCTACTTTTAACCGCTGAGTAAATCCGTTAAAAATGCTAATTTCCTTTTGGTGGGAGGCATCCCAAAAACAATATCCTGTTTTGGGCTTAGCAAACGCCAAATCGCAGCCCAGACCAAACATATTTAATTTGATGGCGGGAAATGAGTTTTTCTTTTCTTATTTTTCTCCACAAAAATTGTCGCCTGAGCCATGAATCTGTTGTGGGCCAAATCGTTTTTAGGGCATGAAAAATGGCTCGCGTTCACCAGTTCATCGGCATCAGAATTTGGACATCAATTCTCTTGTGTTCACACACAAACAATCTAGCTTGGCCAAATTTAACAAAGTGCATTGTTATGTAACTAGTGGTAATAGTAAACCATACAACATATGTATCTATGTATGTTGTACTAAATTAAAAAGATTCAAAAGCAGAACGGCATGCGTAATTTAAGAAGAGCGAAGACCGAGTCCTTGTACGGGAATTTAAAAAAATTAAACAATTAGTGCGCGCATAGTCCGACGACGATTAAAAGAATGCGATTTTACAACTTACAAAGCCATAAGTCAAAGAAGTTCTGGAGAAGAGTTATATTGAAAGATGAAATGTCCTTTCATCAAAAATGTAATTTGTTGCAAAAACGAAGCCATGGTGGATGTTCTGGGGACGTGTGGCATATAATGAACTGGTTGACTTCGTTCCTGTCACTGGCTGAACCAATTTCAAAAGCACGAGGCTTGCGTCTTAAACATCTGATTTAGCAGCTGTTTTCTTAACAGAAGCGCACTCTATCGGAATTCCTGAAACGTAACATTGCAGATTGGTCTTCTGTTAATGTATCCTAAAACAACTTTTTTGGTTTTGACGATTTTTCAAAATTCGGTTTTGGCCAACATAGTCGCTGGCCCCATAGTGCAGTTTTTGAAACAGCTCAGCTCAAACAGCTCACTAAACAAACAAAGCAAAGAAGCTTACATTATACGAACATGAACCGTTTATTTCTGATTGGGAAATAAGTTAACTATTCCTCGATCATATTTTCAAAACCTGAAGTCAATTGGAGGCAGACTTTGAAAGTTGCGCTCTACAGGTCATTTCAATTCCGTTTTTCTAGAAAATACTTTTTTTAAAAAAAAATTTGATTGGATTTTTTTCAAATTATTTACACAAGATAACTTATATTGACGTAAAATTATTATATTTAGAAAATTACGCTTTTAGTTTTGTCAAAATCGGACAACAATATCAAATAGCTGCTATAGAAAGGATGTCTTCATTGTTTTTAGTAATATTCTTGTTTATTTAATTTCATTATAATTTAAAAAAATCTGTTACCAGTCTGATTCGATGAAGCTTGATCTGTTTGTCTTTGACTTTGGATCAAAGGCCATGAAATTATGGAACCATTGACTAACCACCTATCAGCTCACATTGCCAATACTAATCAAGCAAACCTTACAAGCGAATTCTCGTTCTATTTCATTAAGGTGTTTTCAATAATTTAAGCATTTATCGCCAATTATGATTTTTTTTCTATCCGCGCGAGTTCTTTTGCTGAAGATAGTCCAATATAGCCTCGATCAAAAAATTGATCTACTCGAGTATATGGTTCCACAAGCTTATGTTGCCAAGAAGCTCTTTATTTCGATCGGGATAAAAAGCTGGTCGATTTATTAAATAACAAGTTATACCCGATTCTCTGAAACTAGCAAGGATTTATTAAATTATAAAGTGGGGTATAGTACAAAAGATATCAAAGAACAATTTTTTGCTGCTACTAAATATACATTTGTTTGAGTCCTAGTTTACAAATAAGTTGTTTCTAAGTGTTCTTCGGCAATTCATATTCAAAAAATTATTACATTGTTTAAGTTTATATAGTTTTAACTAAATATACAGAAAAGAAAGCCTAACAAGAAATACATAAATAACAAACGCTACTCTCAAAGTCAGTGCTTGAACTTACCATATTTTGAATTACCTTAATAAGTTTTGAAAAGCGATACAAGCCTGATAACTTTTAGGCGTTATGTTGCCGATTTCATAATAGCTTAATTGGAGCTTTTGTGGTTGATGTGGTTGCTATTCAAAAATTACTGAGTAAATTAAAATTACGTAAAAAATATACTCTTAACAAACTAATATCAAAGTTTAGTTATCAACAGTTTAATTCGTGGCCGACGCATGCTGCATGCGTGTTACTTGCTCTCTCCAAATACATAGTTATTATACATATTTGATTTTTCAATGTATTGGATTTGTAATTATTGTAGTGGTGGCTGGTTGTGTTTTCAGTTCCATGGGTTTGGTGGTTAGATAGATTATTACAAAGCTTTTATCATTGGATTTAACTATTTCTATGGATCTTCTGCTAACTTACATGCAATAAATGACTTTGTATGCATTACGCGGTTATCACAATTCCATTTTTGTTTCAATTTCTTGTTGGTTTGTTTTTAGTTTTCATTCTCGGTCTTTAGAATTATCCTAATGTATATTGCAATAGTTTTATTGCTTGCAATGCATAACTCTGTCAACTATTTTACGATAAATTATGAATTATAATCAGGCTTTTCAGTTATACAGCTAGAAACTTCGGGGATTGGTCTACAATTATGCAAAGGTAGTAGTAGAAGGATGCAACATACTTCAAATTCTCAGAAAAATTAAAAATACGAAATTAAACAGGTTTCTGCCAAAATGTCACATCTGACTGTGGTCCTGGGGCGCAGAAGCCGATGCTGATTGTGCTTCCTGAGCAGGTGCATCTGCAGATGCTGCCGGCTTGCCAGCGCTTAGCTTTGCCTTTACTTTAAGCAATAAAGCTTCAAAGGAGTCCTCCTGTACTTTCGGTGCTGGTGCTTCCTTGGGAAACACATATGAGTGGTAATTATTGATACCAGCATTATCTGAAACGGAGATAGCAGTTAGTAGCTGAAATAAAGTTGAAAACATTTTACCTACCCAAGTCTGCGTAGGATGCACGACAGAAAGCACGTCTTCCTCCAAAGCTTATATCATACATGTTAATTTGTGAGTCCCTAGGACTTGTGTCGATGGCCGTGAATGCGTCCTGCGCTCTTTCGTATGTTACAAATCCGTACTTCATTCTGGAATGAACAAACTGTAATTTTAATTTTTTCGCAATCTTTTTTCTTCTTACCCATTTTCTTTATAGTGTATCGTTATCTGTTTTATACTTCCATAAGGCAGAAATTTACGACGCAATAGTTCCTTTGTGGTCTCTTGCTCAATGCGACCGACGTAGACGATTCGGCGCTCCTCCACGGCTGGCTGCGATACGTTACGATCCATGAATCCGCGTCGGTTGTTGTTACTTGGGCAGTTATTGTTAGGGTAGCGCGTGTCGGACTTAGAGGGCGAACGCGACCGACGCAAGTTGCGGTGCGGACTACGGCTGCGTTCGCGATCGCTGTTCTCGGAGCCGGAGCATGACGAGGACACACTGCCCCGCTTTTGGTTTTTGGAACGTCGCTTGTTGTAACTAGTGCGACGTTGTCTGCGCTCATATTTGCCTGCCTCTGAGTATGATGAGGAACTTACCGAGCTGCGATGGCGGTGAGTGCTTCGAGAAGAATAGCCGCCATTACCAATACTGTTTCCCTCACATATGACTGCTGCATCCAAGGTTCGCAGTTGCTCAATCGAATCAGAGCGCGACCGAGATCTGCATGAGACTGAACTGCTGCAGTCTGAGGATGTGCCACTTGAAGAACTAAGTTCATTTGACCCCGAGCCATGGTTTCGTCGCTTGCGGTAACTTCGTCGCGTTAGCTCTCGAGACTGTCGCTTGGGTGGCATCGCCAAGAGTGGAAATTCGGGTTGCAGATCAGTTTGGGTGGAAATGCTTACAAGAGTTTTGCGCACCCGATCTTTGGGCAAATGCATGATAACCATGTCTTCGCCGTGCTGAACATTTTTGTCAGTCGAAGACTTAGCTGGTGCATTGGACGGTATCGCCGCGAGTGTGGTGCTACTGGTTTGTCTGACGACCTCGCTTTGTATGCTGGCTATTAGGGAATTGCTTATGTTCTTATTGGCATCTTGACCGTTCGAAATGTTGTAAAGCAAAACCGATGACTTAAGAAGAGAGCGAGGGGAAGCTTTACTCAATTGATTCGGCGGTATCGTTATATCTGTATTGCAACTAACAGAAACTATTATAATCTCCTCATAGTCCGGGTGAAGTTTGTTGCTGGGTGTGGCAATCACTGGAGTCGAGTCCTCGGTTTCCATGCAGTAGGTGTCCTTAACAATGTCCTTAAGTGTCGGCAACTTTGTTACGCGCGGCACCTTGGCTGAAACCCGAGAATCGATGATCTTTAGCTGTTGGGCACGTTTCATTTCTAGCATGCGCAAAACCTTGTTCTTGGCCACTGTAATCGGGTCCATAGGCACAGTAGCTGGTTCTTTACTGGGGCACTTCAGGCTATTCACAATGTTGACAATGGCAGCTTTCTGAGGCGATGGCGTGGGCTTCAAAACAGGAGAAGGAGTGGGGAATTTGCCGGCGACTTCTAGCTTCGCCTGCTTTGGCGGAGTCGGTTTGGTCTTTACGATGCCAACGCCGCCAGAACGTCTCTGTTTGTACTCTTCTAGATTAAGCTTTCTCTTTGGGGCTGGAGTCGGCGGTGGAGTCGACGTGATGGCGAAAGATGTTGGTGCAGAAGGTTCGTCTGCCGCACACGCTGATACTGCGGCGTCCCTCTCATGCTTGAGAAGCGAAAGGTTCTTTCCACCTAAACCGAGACCGGTGCATGGATTGTGGTTTGCTGGTAACTGTTTGTTGCTTATTAATTTTGCAGCATCGTGAACTTTTTTGTTAGACATCTTAGTTGACTTGGACACGGAGGAGGCTCCAACCTTGCGTTTAAGAAAGTCACACTGCTTCTTATTAGGCACCAGGCAAATGTTTGCAGGCTTCGGTTTGTTCAAAGTTGGGGCCGTGGGTTGATGTGCTTCCACCGGCTCCGGTTTTTGCAGTGGCTGATATAAAAGAAGGTTATGATACCATATTTTATTGATTACAAAGTCTTAGTACTCACATCTTTAACAATTGGTATGGTCTTCTTCGTTGACTTTGGACACCAGGAAGGATCGGCCTTCACATTGTCCACATAACGCAAATCTTCGGTAGTTGGAGTTGCTTTGGTTAGCTGGCCGGCTGCCCATACAGTCTCATCCACGTCGATAACATCAACAGTTTCAACGTCGATAATTGAGTCCGAGTCATAGTCAGAGTCACGCGCCTTGGAGGAAGGAGCTTTGGGTTTTGGGCCAATAATTGCCACGGGTGGAGCAAGTACTGAGGACATCGATGCTTCATCAGAAGTTTTAGTTTGTTTTTGTGTTGGCAGAGTCTCTTTTAAGCGACAGGCGTTTAGATTTTCGGCAAAATCATCTTTGGTAATAAAGTCAGCTAAGTCAAAATTATTTACATCGATATTTAGTCCGAATGCATCTACTTCTGAGATTATGGTGTTGGTACTCAGCGTTCGGTTCTTGCGGTCACTGGAGCTCTGCAATGGAGCGATATTGTCATTAACGGCGGGAAAGCTTTGTACCTGCTCCTCGTCAACAACATCATATTCGTCTTCGTAGTCGCTGGAATGCGACTCATAGTCACCGATAGAGGAGCTGTCCGTGCGAGTGCGAAATGTTGAATCACTGCACTGGCTCTGAGCATCATCCCCCTCTTCCTCCTCCTCTGTAAGACCGCCGATTCCAATGTCTTCTCTGTCATATTCCACAATTGCACTGATTTGGCGCTGCTGCTCGTAGGCCACCTCGACCTCGCTGTCGGTAATGGCTTGGTAGACCTGGTCATTGAGCACTCTGGCATCCTGGTCTCCCAGCTCCTGCTCCACGAATTCACTGTAGATCAGCTGTTCAAAGAATCAATACCGATAGAACCTCTGACCACTTGAATGCCTCTCGAGCCAAAACCTACCAGGTTCTTTCTGTTTTGCAAATCCTCCTCCCGGCTGTGGCTGAGCAGTGACTCGTCAGTGGGCGCGATGGGGAGAATGCCATTAAGTGTGTCTGTCAGTTGTAGACTAAAATATGTTGCATGAGTTTTCGGTAATTTTGTCAACGACAGTAACTTACTCATCATTAGATGACCAGAAATTCGGCTCTGATTCGTATTTAGTGTAGTTTCCGTCGAAAGGATCTTCCTGGAAAACATTCAGCATTCGGGAATCCATTGCGGGTGAATTGAAATTCCTCATAAACTGCAATATAATGAATATAAATTAGTTTTTTTGTTTTTCAAGCTCAAAATAGAACGAAGTCACTTTTTCGTTATCCATCTAGGTACATACAAATGTCAATTTTCAAAACTCGAAAATTTCAAATTCATATTCACGCCAAACAACATAAAAAACGAGAAATGCCAAAAAAGGTAATCACAAGGCGTCAGCGCAAAGCGGCTGAGTCCAAGCGAAAAGCCGAAGAAGAGTCAAATCAGAATTTGCCTGGAGTGAAAGCTGAAGAACCCATGACTAAAGTTGGAAACCAAACTGCGCATACTGCACCTGCATCTTATGATTTGTTGGAAACAAAAAAGGACAAAGAGATGTCCAAGACGACTTCTGGCAGAAATATTCCGTGTTCGAATCAAGCTGTTGAGAAATCAAATGAACCGTGCTATGCTCTTCAAAAGATTATTGCCCCTGGTCAAAGAAAATCCCTCATATCAGCGGTTAAAAAAAGTGCTTTGGACTTGGAACAAGTTCTTACTACCAGTACCTGGTACGACCAGAACAATGAATCCACTTCTAAAGAGTCAAAGATAAAAAGTAAGGAAACAGAGGCTGTTAATGAAGAAGTACCTACCAATTCTGTCTTGCCATTGGTGGCCAAAATTTGCAAACAAATTAAGTCACATTTGCATACGGTCCTGCCAAAGCGCAACAGCTCTCAACAACAGAAGCCAAAAGGAATCCAGCAACAAATCGATCAATCCTATGGTACGCTGGCAGAGGTCAATGATTTTCTCCTGGAGAGGAGTAATGAGGAAATACACGTTGGAGTGTTAAACAGTTTGGAACAGGACCCACCACAACAGGACCAACCACAACATGACCCGTCACAATATAACCCACCACAGCAAGACCCATCACAACAGGACCAACCACAACATGAGCCACCACAGCAGGACCCACCACTGCAGAACCCACACCAACAGAACCCACCACAGCAGGACCCATCACAACAGGACCCATGCGTAGCAACCGGTCAAAACCACAAATCAGGATCGGAGCGTAATTCCAACTTTGAAAACGCGCCGCCACTGAAGCTATTCGGCAACACTGGTTACTTCGTGCTGACTGGCACCAACGATCAGTTGGCCCAACAGCTTGGCGACCTTGCGGCCAGGAATATTGCTGTCCAATGTTTATCCCTGCCGTCCGACATGATAGAAAAAGCTGAGGAACAGCTGGCTGAGCTCGAGAGGAACCGGGAACAAATTCTGGAAAGAATGCGCAATAAGCATGCTATCCTGGCACAACCAAGGGCTCCGCGTCAGAAGAATCAGAGGAAATACAATAAATAAATAGAGGAAATACCCGCAAATTTAAATATACTCTTCAGTTCAATAACAATAAATAAAGAGTCCACAGAATACAAGCAAGCGTAAAAAAAACAAAATTAATTTGTAAATTAATACTCAAGGCCTCATAAATATTTGACCAAAGTTTTCAATATTTGACATTTCCATAGTTTCAATCGGGTAAAATATATTCAAATACGAAGTCTAGTAAATATTTTATAAGCCAAAGCAATTTTTTTATAAATATAAAATCATTAAAATAATTTTTTTTTTCATTTTTATTTTTTTCTAATATTTTGATTTTTCTACGGGAACTATATGATATAAATGTCCGATTTTAATTTAATTAAAACCGTAGTTCCATAGTATTTAACAAAAATAAAATATTAAAAACAACAACAGTGTTATACTTTTTAAAATTTTTTTTCCGATTGTTCCTATGGGAATCATATAGCGATATAGTCGTCCGATCCGATTCGTTCCGACTTATATACTAACTGCAAAGACAACTTTTGGAAAAGTTTCAAGCAGATAGCTTTAAAACTGAGTGACTAGTTTGCGTAGAATCGGAAGGACGGACATGGCTAGATCGACTCTCCTGGTGATGCTGATCAATAATATATACTTTATAGGGTCGGAAATATCTCCTTCATCGCGTTGCAAACTTTCGACTGAAATTATAATACTCTCTGATAGGGTATAAAACATCAAAATTGCTCTTGCGATTGTGTAAAACCAAAGCTAGTCAAGCTAAGATGTGTTTTTGTTTGATAAAACTAAAACTATATCATATGACAAAAAAAGACTCAAAATGAATATTTAAGGTTTAAAGTTATCGTTCAGGGTAAACTTTGGTTGGGCTCAATCCTCTTATAATACAACATTTAAACAATATGTGTAAAAATTTGCATCCAAAATTTTGGTTGATTTTTTCATACAATATTTTACACTGGTGCTTTTATAAGAAAGGTGTTAACATCGTTTATAAAACCCCCATACTTTGTCCGTTGGCGGACTTTTTAAAAAATAAATAATTTTATCAGTTTAGACAGTATTTGAACATTAACATTAAAATTTATTTGTATTTGTAAGTTAACCAAATTGCTAAAAAAAAAAAAAAAATGAATTTAAAAGCAAGTGGTTTCCACCAAAAATACAACACATTTAAAATGTGGTAATAGATCAAGCTAAGGTAAAATTCATAACGCAGTCAATTTATGGTGTTATCGAGAGAAGAGCAGTGGCGAATAGGTACTATTTTTTAGTACCTGGGAAAGGAACAAGGTAAAATAAGAAACAAAACATTTTTAAAATAAAAAAAATTTCCCATAGGGGTGAATTTTCTTTTCTTTAAGTTGCAGTAGAAATATTTTACTTGGAAATTATTAATTTATTAAAAATTAATACATAGTTAAGTTAAAATGTACCACATTGTGTTACTTAGTTATGCATAATTAAAAATTAATAGCAATATTGTCAATATCAAAGCAAGAAACAGCTTTCGTAACTTGAGTTATAGAGTTAGCCCAATGTGGAAAGAGTTATCGTGTTAAGCATCGTTATTTATCGATAGCTAATTCAATATAAAGCTCGTTGCAGTGTGGAGCGCACTTAAACGTTTCTTTCTCACTTTGACATATCTCATTGCGATATATCGCTATATCGATAACATCGGTAGCGTGCTTCAACTATTTTAAACTCAAAAGATTGCGGGTAAGTAAGGTGAAGTAAAGTATATTAAATATAAATATTTTATATATATATATGTTGGATTTATCGCAAATCTAATAATTTCTTTAAAAAAAAACAAAGTTAGCGCTAAATTCAAAAATAAAAGAATCGCATTTTCTCTAAATAAAAATAATATTTTTTTTAGCAGTTTTAAGGCTGTTGCCTTAACCGGAACTATCATTTTAGCTATTTGACAAACAGTCTTAATCATAAACATATGTAAAAAACTAATATGATAAATTACATTTCACAATCCATAAAGCTATAAAGAAAAAATCAAATCAACTTTGCTTAGAAAAGTTTTAAATAAGAAAATGGCTAATGTTTTACACAAAAATTGCTAAATAGCACCCGGTAAAACTTCAAAAAAGCACCACCGCGTGGCACCAGAAGCAACATGCAGTCCACCCCACCCCTTGACCAACCATCACACCTGCAGCCGCAGAGCAAATCCTTACTGACAGATTTGGATTGAACTGCAGGGTTTATATTTCATTCCCTAATCGCGGATCAGAAAAAGATCATTTTGAGAAAAACTCTGGCTGATGCTGCCAATAACAAACATGCGCAAACACCGACGGGAGGGAAGAAGCAGAAGCAGCCCGCACATGTGTTGACCCCAACCACGTGTATGTGTGTGAGCCGCGACTAGAGTGTGCGTAAATGCCGCCGCCACGCCATGTGCTTTTGTCTTTTAATGCTGAACAACAATCGAATTTAATACTATATGTCAGTCTCCACTATCACCTTTCACATTTTGTCACATTTGTTTAGAAAGCTGTTTTCATAGGAAGCTACTTTGTGGACACAGACGAAATGCAAGGCGGATGCCTGGTCGAATTCGCGTTCGTGCGAATTTGTGAGTCCCGCACTAAGACTTTACCTTCCGAAATCTCAATTGCTAGCAGCTCTGGAGCACGCCTTCTCTTAATATTGTAGGCCCACGTTAACCGAATTATTTTCAGATGTGTTGCCGCCGTCCGTTTGTCCGTCTGCTTTAACCTCACATGTTGAGCGCCGCGTCTGCAGCACCAACACAAGCAGGGATCCAAAATCGCCTTAATTCGGCCGACAGCCAAGGACTGTCTTTATCCGTCTCGTTATTCACTCGCGAAGATCACTCAGATTCACTTGTCAATCACTTTATCTCATTAGTTCGAGAACCACACATTGCCCAAAATATGTTCACGTGGACTGAGTCGTTTCGCGGTAGGGTCGAAGTAGTGTTGCCAGTGGAGCGCCTTGGGATAATACCACATACCATTTGTACTAACGCCAAAGTGTGTCGAAAAATACTAGTTTTAAACACTATGAGCGCGTAGTTTTAAGTCGCTCATCACAATCCCAGTCCGAACTCTACCGAATTTACAGAACAATGTTTCCATTTTTGCTATAATTAAAAAAAAAAATAATAAAAACATTTTGTTAATGATTCAGATCGATTGTTGCCTAATTCTCTGCAACAATCCAGATCGTGTTCTAAAAATTTCAAGCTTTTTACATATATTTTATTCATACATATGTATATGTATACACATACGTAGTTTCAAACATTTTTTTTACATTGGAGACCCTTAACACAGTCTAATTAATTATCTAAGCTCTCAGTTAATCTTGTTTTGCTCTTGTTTAAATGTTGTTAATAACGGTCAAAAATGATGATTTGATTTTTTAGAATATAGGTACTCAAAAAAGGAACCCTTCAAATGTGTCCATCTGAATAATCGAAGTAGGGCAGGAGCTCCCGCAAACAAATGTGGGGATGTTTATTTGTTTTATATAGAACCATTTTTTTTTCGCTACCTTTAAGTTATAAAATATGAAAAAATAACAAAACCTTAGCTTAGAAATGCGTCTATTTAAAGAAGCTATATTTTTTTTATTTTAAATAACCATACAACATTCTTAGTTATAAAAAAAGTCTCCGTAGTTAAGGGTACTATATCTACATTTTAAATAGAATCCTGCAAAAATTAACAACTTGGTCAATTAAAGCAAGGCTTAGGAAATTGATTTATTCATGTCATACATATGTAACTTATATTCGCTGTTAGCCTAATAGCAATTAAACGGCAAATAATATAAAATATTATATTAATTTTTGTATGCCATGCCAACAAATTTAAGTGGCACGGCGGATTAATTTAATAGGCCAAGATAATAAAAATTATTTATTCGTTAAATCAAAAGGACTGCAGTAATGTTTTCTTTTGGTTATTGATATTATCTTTATACTTAAACTGTTTGAATAATAAACATCGCCATAGGAAACAAATACTATTGATTTATTAGAACATGGGCATTTTATTCGAAAGTACTTTAATGAGTAGCAGTCCGACGACCAACTCATTTTTAACTATCTGGCACAAGCATTGGATAGATATAATATAACGAGCGACTAAGCTCTATTCCAATAAAGTACAACTCGGATAAAATGAAAAATTATTAAGATTAATATGTTGCGTATATACGAAAATGCGGGACAACTGCGAATTAAGCCAAGAAGGTCGGAAGTAGTTTAACGACGCTTAACGCTGGTCCATTCGCCATCATCGCCGGCTTTGTTCTCTATAAGATAAAACTCTTTTATTAAATACTTCTTTGACCCGGTGTTGAGCCTACTCACCCTTGTCCTGGGGTTGATCGCGCTTGGGTGCGGGCTTTTCTTCGCGAGGTGCAGGAGCCGTGCGCCAGTTTCCTCCGCCGCCACTAGCGGCTTCTTTTGGAGCAGGTCCGCGTACGTCGCGCACATCACGATCACGTCTTTCGCCAGCTGGGCGACGGTTTTCCCGATCACCCTGACGAGGAGCATCGCGCCAGTTGCCGCCAGTTTCACGCTGGGGTTCTTCCGTACGACGTGGTCCGTCGTTGCGTCGGAATCCACCGCGATCATCGTCTCGTTCCCGGCGCGGTCCATCGTCACGACGAGGTCCATCGTCACGGTCTCGACGAGGTCCGTCGTCACGACGAGCTCCATCGTCCCTATCTCGGCGAGGTCCATCATTGCGGAAGTCGCGATCGCGTTCGCCTCCACGACGCCACTTGTCATCCCGCGATTGAGGAGTGCCACTGTCCTTGGGTGCAGCAGCACGCTGGGAATCTGGCTCCCGTCGTACACGCCACGATGAGTCAGCTCCCTCGTTGTCCTTGCGGTCACGGTCTCCCCCTCGTTCAATGCGATCTCCTCCACGCTCGATACGTTCTCCTCCACGCTCGTTGCGATCTCCTCCACGCTCGCTGCGATCTCCTCCGCGCTCGTTGCGATCTCCTCCACGCTCGTTGCGATCTCCTCCACGCTCGATGCGATCTCCTCCACGCTCGATACGTTCGCCTCCACTCTCGATGCGTTCTCCTCCACGCTCGTTGCGATCGCTGGCCGCAGGTGCAGCTCGACGCCACTCCCCTGCTCCGCCGGCGGGTGCGCTGGGACGATCACCACCACGAGGACGCCAGGTGTGGCGGTCCTTATCGCTGCGCTCGCGCTCCTCGACAACCTCTCGGGCCAAACGCTCGCGGTCTTCCTTGATTTTGCGCTCGGCCTCCTCCTCTTTGGCACGCTGCTTTTCATACTGGGCACGTCGCTTTTCGTCTTCGGCTTCACGCTCCAGACGGCGAGCTTCTGCTGCAACCCTTTCCTCGGCAGCCTGCGCCAAGCGAATCTCCTCCTCCTTGCGGAGACGCTCCTCCTCCTTTTCGCGAATGAATGCCTGACGGCGCTCCTCGCGGCGACGAATGACACGATCGGCCAGACGTTTTTTGCGCTCCGCCTCCAGTGCAACTTCAAACTTCTTAAGCTTCTCGACGTAGAGGGAGGCACGCTCCTTCTTGAGGGCCTCGAGAAATTCGTCCCGATCGGGGTACATACGTTTGAGACGCTCCTGCTGGCTAACGGCGTCCTTTCGTTCGGTGATTGCATTCTCGATGCGCGTCTTCTCGGTGGCTTCCCAGAACTCTTTGTCCTTGACCTGTTTTTCGGCCAAGTATTTTTCGAAGAGTGGAATCTCCTCAAGGCGCTTGGCGCGCTCGTAATAGTCGATTTTCTTTTCTTGCGACTTAAGCTTTGACTGAAGTTCCTTGGCCTCGCGCTGCAGTTCCTCGCTCTCACGCTTGGCGATCTGCTCGGCGTCCAATTTCTTGATGCCTTCTTCATCCAACTTGGAGAGCATCTTCTTGCCATGGGCAGTCTGCGAGATTTGCTGCACCTTCTCCTTGAGACTCTTCTCCCGGATTGCTTGGATTTCGTTCTGATGGCGCTTGCGTTCCCGTTCTTCTTGCTCCTGCTCAAGGCGCTTCTGTTCGGCCAACTTAGCCTTGCGAGATTCCTCCTCCTGGCGCCTAGCCTCCTCCTCTTCGCGTGCATTGTTCTGCTTCTCGATGTACTCCTTTCGGTCCTCAATGATCTTCTGCCGCTGAAGGATACGCTGATGCTCACGATCCTTTATCTCATGGTAGTGATGCACCATCTGGGTGCGGAGCTTGGCCCTCTGGTCGCGCTCCCGGTTTGGATAGACAACAGAAACGGCCCTTGTCAGTACGGTGGACATGTTCACCAACTGGGAGCGGATCTGTTCTGAAGGCATAGACTGCAGTGCGGGCCCGTCGGGTCGGTACTCGCGTTGGCTCTCGGTCAAATCAGTGCCGAAGTAGATGCTGTTCTTCTGGTGGTCGATCCGGATCTGCATATCGTTGTGGCGCACCGACTCAACTAGCAGCTTTTCCAACTCAAAAATGTTGCAAAAGCTGGCCAACTGCAACAGGCGCTGGAACTGGATGCTCTCATAGACCTGAGAGATCTGCCGAATAAGACGCATGATTGTCACGTCCTTCAGCGACTGAATGTAGGGAGTGAGCAGAGTGTTCTCGGGTCCATTCTCGATAACGTCGACAATAGACTGAATCCGCTTGCACAGGTTCAGGGGGTTGAAGTCCACCTCCAGCCAGTTATACAGGTTGCGGAAGTCTTCCGACACAAGTTGGGGAACATTCAAGCGCACCTGTGTGATTTTAATAGATAAGTGCCAGTTTGTAATTAATAGCCTGAACTACTTACCACTTCGCGGATAAGCGACACTCGCGTAGGCGGCTGGGGCAGGCCAAGGAGCACGGCCAGCTTCTGGGCCTTCTCCAAGGGGCTTTTGTCCGCCTCGATAAATCTGTCGAACTCTGGATGGGCCGACGGTAGCGGAATAGAGAGGGTGGCCAGGAGGACGTGGGCAGCCATGCGTTGCAGATCGTCCTTGGTTAAATTCTTCTTCAGCTCGCGCGTCAGCTGGAATAGCTTCAGAAGAGCCGCAGCGTGGAAGAGCTGATTGCCTGCCTTGCTGAACACCATTGCGAGCTTCTGGTAGTAGTTGGCCATGGTCTTGGGCACGGGCGTCTTCTTGGACAGGGCCATCAGCCCGTGGATGTCTTCGATCGCCTTGTACGCCTCCTGCCATAGCTCCATCTGGATGGCCGAATCCAGCAGGTAGAGCCTGGTGTCCAGGCAAAGTTGCTGCGTCTCCACCTTGTTGATCGATACGCCGGTGGTCTGGTTGCTGCTTTTGCAGATGTCCTCCAGGTGCTTGCGCAGTTTATCGCACAGGCGACGGAACTCGCTCTTGCGGTTGTATTTCAGACAGAACTGGAAGGCCATCCGGGCGATGTCGTGGTACAGAGCCTCGCAGTGGGTGTTCACCCGGAGAAGCTCCAGGCACTGGCAATAGGACTCCCAGAGAAACTTGACCCACGGCAACAGGATGGTGCGGTCGGAGCGGTCTTGGGCGTCCTCGCCGCACACGGCACTCATCAGGATGCTTTCGGGAGTGGCGATGTTGTCCAAGTCATCCAGCTCCAGCACGGCAACAGCCGCAGATGATTGCGCCTGGGCAGCCTCGGTGTGCTCCTCAGCCATCTTAAGGTAGCCGCGGATCACATTCTCCAGGGAGTTGACGTTGACCAGTTGGAACATGTTCCGGTACTGGAAGAGTCCCTCCTTGGCGATGTGCGACTTCTTGAGCTCCACGCACAGGTACAGGTACTTGAACATGAGCGGCTCGATGACCGTCTCCGAGTAGGCGTAGTTCCATCGCTTGTTTCGGAACACTTCCTGCAGCGTGTCCAGCGCCCTGAGGGGCTTACCCACCTCGATGAACTCTGCAGCAAAGAGACAAGCGCCGGATTAAGAGAGCGAGCCCATTAGCGGTGCGGTTCTCTTCGGCCACCGCATGGAAAATTTTCAGCACTCACCATTGGCTCTTTTCAGAGCATTTTCTGGACGTTGCGTGTACCGGGCCATCTTTGATTACTTGATTTACTTGCGGCGACACTTGAAGTTGATTTTGTTAACAGGTCTGGACGGTTCTGAGACCTGAAGCTGCTGAAAATTGTTAAAATCTTCGGCTCGCCTACGTGTGGCCTGCGAGATTTATGCAAAATGGCCGATTTGACGGCTCGCAGGGCTGCACCTCGCCGCTGTTATCGATGATGCGGGTCGGCAGTCGATATTTGGCGATGATTGCGTGGCTGCACGACAACCCTGCCCGATGTAAACAATAACACGCGGATCGCGAATACGAAATAAAGCTTAAGTTTAGATAAATATTACTTAAGTTTAGCTAGCAATATGACCAGCTGGAGGAAATACATCTTGTGGTTCGCCCAGGAGCATGTAGACTTTCGAGTACACGAATTTGAATCATTGGTTAAAATGTTTGGCCTCCAGGTGCGGCGGCTCACTAAACAAACACAGGTAAATTATATTTTCATTTGAAAAATATGTTTATTTTTACTGTAGTTCATTTTACGAGCTTCAATAACATTTTAGGTGAAGAAAAGATTTTAACTGTATTAAAAATTTAATAAAAACACTGAAACAAGGTCACGACCGGTAATTTGTGACAAATAAGTGTTATGCATTGCTGAAAAAAATTATTTTTAAAGCTTTCTCATTCCGCCCGCTGCAAATATAAAAATTGTATTACTCGAATAATCTTTATTTTTTACGTTTCAATATTGCATATCTTAACACTTTACATTTACTTATTATTGAAAATCTTTGGATTTGTTATCTTGGAGATTTTATATTTTTTTAAATATATAATTAAACAAAATTTAGTTTTTCTTAAAATTATTTCTTATTTATAAACAACAAGAAAGGAAGCAAACTTCTGTACGACGAAGGGTAGATATTTGCAATTATTACAAAAAAAAATATTATATATAAAGACTATATGTAGATTATGTTCCAAAAAATGAAGATATTTCCTTTTCTAATACTTTTTTATCGTTCCTGAAGCTGCAATAGGATAAAGACGCCCGGTCAGTTTCGTTTTAAAACTTGATCTGAACTAATATTTTTTATTTTTCGAATTGTATACCCTTGTACGTAATTAATAATTATAAATTTAAATTTCCCATTTATGAAATGTTGATTCACAATATTTATTTCTTTGCTTTTGCAGAAGCCCTTTTGGCTGGTGGAGTTTCGCGAAAAGGAGGCTGCTTTGCAATATGCCTCCCGATCCGTCTGCCTCCGCGCCATGCTGGAACTCTACGCCCACGGCAGCAAATTGTCACAGTTTCACGACAGTCTCCGGGCACACGTAGATGCGAACAGGGAAGAGATGGCAGGATACTTCCGTCCGGACACCAGCTTCAAGATAGTCGTGGAGACCTACAACAAGCACTTCAGCCAGCGGGAGAAAGTCGAGAAAATCGAGTCAATGGACTACCTGCCCATAGAGGGCCCGGTCAACCTGAAGAATCCCCAGGTGGAATGGTGGTACATCGAATTCTGGGGCCTAGATCCCACGGATGTGCCGCCCGAACCTGAGGACATTCTGTTTGGTCGCCTGTTGGCCTCTGGTCAACGGCACCTGATTAAAGAGCTTTCGCTGAAGCAGCGAAAGTTTATTGGGAACACCAGCATGGACGCCCAGTTGAGCCTACTGATGGCCAACCAGGCGATGGTGCGCGACGGGGACCTGGTATTCGACCCTTTTGTTGGTACGGGCTCGCTCCTGGTAAGCGCCGCCAAATGGGGCGGATATGTACTGGGAGCCGACATAGACTACATGATGGTACATGCCCGCTGCCGACCGAGCCGCATTACCCAGAAGGTACGCGAAAAGGACGAGAGCATCCGGGCCAACCTCAAACAATACGGATGCGCTGATCGCTACGTGGACGTGGTGGTGGCGGACTTCTCCAACGCGCTGTGGCATCCACGCATCTCGTTTGACAGCATTATAACCGATCGTAAGTATTCCACCGCTGTTAATCTTCTCTACAATCCGATCCATTTATTATTTAAAGCTCCATACGGAATACGCGAAGCCACGGAAAAGGTAGAGACAAAGAGCACCACAAAGGACAGCACCAGAAGCGAGGATATGGTGCATTATCCGTCAACATCGCACTATTCGTTGCAGAGTCTGTACGGTGATCTACTGGAGTTCGCCGCACGGCACTTGAGACTGGGCGGACGCCTTGTCTGCTGGCTGCCGTTTCATCGTGAGGACTACGATCCCAAGATGCTGCCACAGCATCAGCATCTGCATCTGGTAGCCAACTCGGAGCAGCTCTTGACTGGCAACACTGCACGCCGCCTGCTAACCTACGAAAAGTGTTCCAAGTACATTCTGCCAGACCCGTCGCTGGTCAGCACAACCCAGGTGCCCACGCCCTCTCAGGATTTTAGGGATCGCTACTTCAACAACGCCCTGGAGTCTCGCAAGGAGCGCCGTATGCGAAAGGCAGAGCAGCGGGAACAGGGCCGTGTGGAGATGGAAGCTCGGGGAAAGATTCCAACAGATGGACGCTCAAAAAAGTGTGACATGAATAAGGCTCGTTTTGTATGATGTATTTATTAAAAGTTATTTAATTGTTGAACTGATTTCTCCACCACCAGCTGGTTTGTCGTCAGCACGGTCTTGCAGGCGGCACTTAAAAACGCTGGCAAAGCTGCTAAGAAGCGCTTCACTGGCTTCCGGGACGGAGACAGACCTGTCCAGCTCCTTGCTGAGCGAAGTAACCCCCTTGCCCTCGATCCCGCACGGCACAATTTGCTCGAACCATCTCATATCTGTGCAGCAATTGAGGCCGATGCCGTGTGTTGTGACGTAACGGGAGCCGTGGACGCCGATAGCACAGATCTTGTGGTCGCCCACCCAGATGCCAGTGTCTTTGGTGGTGGTTGCACTGGGAACACCCAGCTGGCGGCAGGTCTCGATCACCATTCGCTCCAGCGTGGACACATACCAGCGCATACTCAATTTAAATTGGCGCAGGTGTAAAATTGGATAGGCCACCAACTGGCCGGGTCCGTGGAATGTGATCAGACCGCCACGATCCGTGCGATGAAAATCCGCTCCCAGCTGGCGTAGTCGATCCTCATCGGCAGCCGTGTATTCCTTTGTTCGCAGTCCGACTGTGTAAACCGGATCATGCTCCTGCAGCACCAGGTAGTTGCGGAACTTTGAGGGCGGATCCAGGATCTGGTCAGATTTCGCCAGGTGTTGTTGCAACTGCTGTCCCGCCGTGTAGCTATGGCGTCCGGCCCGCACCACGGTTACCAGCGGTCGGTTTAAAGGCATATTTCAATTGTTTAGTGACCATCTGCATGGTTTAAATTTAACAAATATTTAACAGGGCTGCATAGTCAACAAGGTCTATCGATTAATTAATCGATATATCGACCAGAGTGCAGACTTGTTGCAATGGGAAAACTACAATACCTTTAAGTTTATCAGTTCTTCCTCGTGAGTTCCAACTAATTTAACAAAATAAGATCTAAGGGAAAATTAATTCCATTTTGAATTCATTAATCCGCAAGCCTCTATCGATGTTTTGTTTACGATTGCGATTCGCGAATGGCATTCACGAGTGCTCGTGCTCGCAATTGTGGTTGTAATGGCCTTCTTCTTCTTGCAACATTTGACGTTTGCAATAAGATAAAAAAAGACTTACACACGCTCGCTTCGAATATTTTTTGAAGGTTTGGCCTAAAAGAGTGGCCCTGGCCACAGTGAATCGACTCCTTTGGAGACCTCACCTCCTCGCTGGGATTGCAGAAAATTCGTGGCAGTTTACCCAGGCGGTGGGCACATGAGGCACGCATGAAATTCCAATAGCGCAGCGGAGCTGGTGCGTAGAAAAGCACAGGCTCCAAAGCAGGACATGACGACACGCCAGGACGATGAGAACGGGGGTGGTGTGACCGAGCCCGCCCCCTTTCGGGTCATGCCCCACCCGGAGGAAGTGGCCAACTTCCTGGCACAACAGCAGCATCAGCACCAAAACCAAAACCAAAACTACCTGATCCACCAGCAGCAGCACGGACAGGCACCTGGGCCCATGATGTGGCCACCTCCGCCGCCGCATTTGGCAGCCCCCCAGTTTCCGCCCCATCTGCAGCAACAGCCCCACTTGTACAACGAGTATCTCTACAACTTGGCCTATTCGGGTCAGCCTGGCCAGCCAGAAAGCTACTCCGTGCTGCCTGTGGGGCACGGCAACTTTCTCAAGGTATACCACTGCCCGGAGAACCCGGTCAGCGAGGGCAGCGCTCCACTCTTCACGCATATCAACATGGTGAACCACCATCAGATACAGCAGCAACAGGCCGCGCCGTCGACCGCGCCACCCCTTTACGAACTGTTTGCCACGAATCCTTTAACTTTGCCGCAAGCTCAGCAACAAGAGGCGCATCAGCGCCAGTCTCAGCAGACGCAGTCTCAGCCGCCACCTGCTCCCCAGGCCATTCACTCCCCGAGCAGTGCCAACCTGCTTATTAACAACCTGGTGAACAACTGGTCGCCCAACCTGACTGGCGGGAGCTACATACAATTCGGGGACGAGGCTAACGAGAATAACAACCACCAGACTGAGCCCCCGGCAGCCCAGCAGCTGCAGGCGTCCAAGCAGGTTCTGCAGAATCCGCCGGAGCCACCGTCGCAATCCGTCAGTCCACTGCCTTTGACCTCGAAACCAGCGAAACCCTTGAAGATGCCTTTGGCCACTGCCACTGTCTCACCAACTGCCATTAACAAGTCGAGCGTCGTGGTGGCTGGCCAACCTGAGGGCAAGAAACGCATCGTAGCCGAGGTGAAGCCCATGCCCATGTCTTACTCCGATGTGCTCAGCAAGGGCACCAAGTCGAGCGCCGCTGGGGGAGAGATGCGCGCTGGCAACGGAGTCGACTATAGCAGCCAACCGCTGCGGCGTCAAGGCAAGGATGATGGAAATGGAAATCGGGAAATGCGCACGGCCAAGCGTTCGCCGATGCACGATGCCAAGGAAATGGGTTCGGTGGCGGCTAGTGTTGGTCATGCGCACGGCAGCCGAGGCAAGAAGCGAGGTCAAGCCAACCAGGCTGCGCCGCTGAAGCAGCAACAGGCCCAACCACTTCAGCCCACTCCACAGACGCAGATCAAACCAAGCAAGCCTAGTAATCAAGAGAAAAAGCGGCCGTTGCAGCCGAAGAACTTAAACATCAACACCCTCAAGGCATCGGAGCAAAAGACAACTTCCGCATCGTTCCCCACAATCAGCAGCTTGCAGAACCACAACAATGACAGCAATTCGACTACTGCCACCGGCTTTAGCACCTCATCACGTAAATCGGGTGGTACCAAAATCAACTCGAATGCAAGTCACTCGAATCAAACTGGAGGAAACAATCTGGGCAGCAGCAACAATGCCAGCATCAATTACTCCAGCAATAACAATGTTAGTTCCTCTTCGTCCAAGCGGTATTCCTCCTCGAATGTAAATCTTAACTCGAACTCCAGTTCTGGCTACTCCTACTCCTCGAAGCGCAATCGAAGCAATGCCTATTCCTCGTCTAACTCGCCCTCACATGCCAACAGTTTTTCCAGCAATCGCAACTACGAGTTGGCTAAGCGAATTCTGCACACTTGGTGGATCTACACTCTGAAACTGCTAACCTGGCTGTTCTATTTGGTCTATGACATCGTTGTGCTGGGCTTCAGTATGGCCTATGAGCGTATGACACTGGCTTATGTGGCCGGGTTGGCTTATGCGCGTCAGCTACATAAGGAACTCAAGCAGAACTCTGGCAAGCCGAGCATCTGGTGGAGAAGTTACTGGCGTCGTTTCGACGCTCGCTTTGCCAAGAACTCCCGCTGGGCTGTATGGCGACGTTTCTATAAACGGAAACCCCCTGAACCCACATCTGAGCAGTTCAAAACTGGCCGCTTGCCCCAAACGGGAGAAGAGGCAATGTACTCGCTGCTGAATTGCAAGGGAAAGGATGCTTACAGGTGGGTTCTGCCTACTGATCATGAAGAGTCCCGTCGTTCAATGGCTTTCTGTATTTATTTCAGCATACTTGGTGTCCCACCAGATAGCTCACAGGAGCAGATCCGTAAGCATTACAAGAAGATTGCCGTGCTCGTACATCCCGACAAAAACAAACAGGCCGGTGCTGAGGAAGCTTTTAAGGTGCTGCAGCGCGCCTTTGAGTTGATCGGAGAACCGGTAATGAATTGGTCACACCAATGAAAGTGCCTTTGATAATTTTTCTTTTGCAGGAGAATCGTCTTATCTATGACCAAAGCATCGCTGAAACTCTGCACGCTGAGAAGGCGTGGACGGAGCTTCATGACCTGCTTTCCCAACTGCAAACTAAAATGGCTGAGGCAGCCAATACTATAAGGTGCGTATGTAGCAAACGAGTCTGAATCGAGGAGGAAACGCTAACTAATATGTTCTCCGTCTCAAACAGATGTAGCACCTGTGCGCAACGTCACCCTCGCAAGCTAACCGAACGTCCTCATTATGCTGCGCGGGAGTGCGCCTCCTGTAAAATTCGACACTCCGCCAAAGATGTAAGTACCCAGAAATAAGCAAATTAAACTATCTACAACACGTTTGTTTTGTGAAGGGCGACATTTGGGCCGAGACCAGCATGATGGGTTTGCGGTGGAAATATTTGGCGCTAATGGACGGCAAAGTCTATGACATAACCGAATGGGCGAACTGCCAAAAGGGAGCTCTGTCACATTTGGAACCAAACTCGCATATGGTGCAGTACCGCATAGTGCGCGGTGCTCAGCAACAACAGCAACAGCAGCAGCAGCAACAACATCACCAGCAACCGCAGCAACCACATCACGATAGGGGTGGTCACCATCCAGGCGGAGGAGTCAGTGGGGTTAGGTAGGAATCGAATTTATTTTAATTACTTTGAATTATTTGGAGTCTAAAATATATTTTTTCTTTCAGCGAGGCTACATTGCACGAGTTCTTAGACAATTTGTATAGCGGTCAGCATCCAGGGGCGCCCAACGCCTTTGCCGGGAATGCGCGACGCCGTACGCGACGAAACTAAGCATTGCGAGCGTAGTTTTAAGTGTTTTAAAATCTCTAATCTACAGTTATAATCCAACACTTCGCCGTATGTTGCTTGGTCCTTACTCACTACCAAAACAAAGCAAATAAGCAGCAGTTGGGCACTCATCTTCCCTGCTCTTAGCGCATTGACATGCAATGCGATTTCTATCCATCTCTAATGTCAAGTTTATAAGCCATATTGACCTTTACAAGTTGTATAGTTTGAATATTGCTCTAAAGAAGATCGTGAAATTGTTTGATTTGACACATTGAATTTTGTTTTATCTTTTGATTCTGCCTCCCGTTTATGGTCAGCTTATCGCGCTTAGCTATTAGTAAAAACTTTAGTTTTAAGTTCTAACTTTACTATCCCCGTCAATTTCGAATGCGAATGCGACGGCACACATGTAAAATCTAACACATCCAATTTAAAAAACATTAATGTTAATAAAACAATATTTATCGCATTAGCCGAATTCGAGTTGTTTAAGAAGTTAGGTGGTTTTCACGGGTTGAAACCCATTTCGGTTTGTATTTTAAAGAAATTTTACATTTTTATAGTTCTGCAGCTTAGATCCCCCACATTTGTCTAATTTTTTAATTTTCAAAATTAATCAAATTTAAAAATTTAAGGTCCTTTTAAACAATAGTAAAAATTTAAAGTTGCCATCTTGAAAATGGGCATTTATATTAGGTCAATCGATTAGGTTAAAGCCAAAAAGGTGCAAATAAAAACGATTTTAATTTTCAAAATTGACTTTAAACCCTTTCCTAGCTCTATGATACTGCATAACAACCGATTTTAGCCAATCCTTAGGCAGTTTTCCAATAACGTCGCTTAAAAAGATTTGCTTGCAGCCTAAAAAACCTAAACCTTAAACTCCAATCTTAAACAACTAAAAACTACTAGTAGACATTAGGTTTTAATGGGAATTTTACTCAAAACGGCGCTGATAGATTACCAAAATAATTCACGAAGAAAATAATTCAGTTTAGTGTTTTTATTGAAAAAATTCTCCACTCCATTTTCACCTAATTTTCTACACATGTTTTTTTTTGTATTTGTATAATAATAATTACATAGGTAATGTTTACATACTGCTCCACAAAAATGGCTATTACGCATACAAAACGATTTGCAATTGCATACCTATAGAACCTAGAATGTGGGACTTACAGTCTATTTTGTTTTTTTTTTGATTCCAACAATTTACTGATTTTTATGCTCGGTTTTAAGTGTATCGATCTTATGGTTATTCCTAATTGTGTTTGTTTTTTGTATTTAATATTGATGTTGTGTGGATGTTGTTGGGTATGCACCATTAATAAAGATCAAAAGATGGAAAGCTATCTCGCGATTTCGGATTTAGTTTAGCGGCATAATTTATTTGTAATAAATTAATGAAACTTTGTATGGGATATTTTATAGCCTGTGATGTTTTAATGTCTTCGTACATTATTTTTTCTTTTGTATACTTTGAAACGTTTTACAAAATTTGTCGAATACTCGCATTTGTGGTTTTCTGTTTAACGTAAATAGTTTTTGACTATTTCTGAATGACTTTTATTTTTAACAATTATTGTGCCTAATTTTAAATTACATTTTTTGCTCTATACATTTACAAAATCTGCCATTGGCTGCTGCTTTTTTTTAAGTTTATTTGAATAATATATGTATATGTATGCATATACACATATATATATATTAAATTCTAGGCTTAAATAGTTGAATTCCTTGCTCACACACAAACTAAGTGTGATAAACATTAGCTTTAGTTTTAAATTGTTTATGCTGGGCTTCAGTTTATGTTATCGTTTAGTTGAAATCTTGTTTTGCGTATGCTGGTTTTTGTATTATACAATCCGCTGGGGTACTTATGATAAGTAAGCTTTGTACAACTAAAGTAGTTTAAAGAAAAAGAAGCAACAAAACATATTTAAAATAGTACTCTAGAAGAATGGGTGCATATGCATTCGCAATGCCTATACATTTGCATATGCCACAATATGTATGCAAGCATACTATTAGCATATTTTAATGTTCGGGTGTATGGATTTGCGGCTGTGGGAGCATATTATTTGCAATATCGGCAAAAGCACGGACTGCGGGTCCTGGTAATTTGGGTGTCGCCCTCCGCTATCCGCGCTTGCTGAGCATTCTGTCCCAAATGCCTATGAACGGGTGTCCTTGTGTGGAATTTTGAATGTGGATGGTCTGCGATGTGGAGTAGTGAGTTGAAGTGAAGGTGTGTGTCTGTGGAAATGACTCGTGGAGCTCCGCTCTTTCCCGGGGAGTGGAATCTCCTGGCGCTGCTGGCCCTCGCTATGTCCTAAGCTCTGTGCTGGCGCCGCCCCACTGTGCTCCGATATTATTTCGGCGTCTTCCGCTGTTTTAGCTCCTGCGAGGCGTCGTCCAGGAGCTTGGTGGCATATCCGTTCGTCAGGAGCCCGCCGTTTGCCCCCTTGTGCGTGCTCCCGTTGGCCGTCGCCATCGAAATCGACCCGTTGCCGTTGGACAGCTGCTTGTAGCCGTTGGCCAGGCCGTTCCCGTGGCCATTGCTCAGCGGAGAGCTGCTCCCGTTGGCCTTCGACACGGGCGTCGCGGACGCCAACGCCTCCGCTGGCTGCGGCATGGCCAGGTCGTCATGGGCGTTGATGCTCTTGCAGTAGCCATTGGGCTTTGCGTGTCCGTTGGCCAGCGCTGCTGCTGCGTTCTTTTTCTGCAAGAGGTGCGGATCGGGTGAAAAGATTAGTGGCAACTCAATGTACTCTAAACAGAATGATATGGGGTGTTTACATGATAAGTGCGGAACTATTTTATATAACACCGGTCGAGAAGGCCAAGACTAAAAGCTAATGATTAGAAACGGATTTTAACTCTGGATTGAACTAGTCTTTAGAAAATGGAGAGCTTAATTAAAATAATTCCTTGTGAGGCACATATTATACCCTTGCAGAGGGTATTATAATTTTGGTCAAAAGTGTGCAACGCAGTGAAGGAGACATTTCCGACCCTATAAAGTATATATATTCTTGATCAGGATCACCTCCTGAGTTGATATAGCCATGTCCGTCTGTCCGTCTGTCTGTTTCTACGCAAACTAGTCTCTCAGTTTTAAAGCTATCGAGTTGAAACTTTGCACACAGCCTTCTTTCCTTTGCACGCAGTATATATGTCGGAACGGGATCGGCCGACTATATCCTATAGCTGCCATATAACTGATTGATCGGAAATGCCATAACTTTGGTGTTTGTAATGTTAGGAAGTTGGGATTTTCTATCGGTTTTATATTTGGCCAATCAATCCGACCTACCAAATTTCATAAGGATCGGCCGACTATATCCTATAGCCGCTATATAACTGATTGATCTGAAATGCCATAACTTTGGTGTTTTTAAAGTTAGAGAGTTGGGATTTTTTATGAGTATTAAGAATGCATCATATGAATAATTTTGCAGAATATAATTTACAGAGTATTCTGCAAGGGTATATCAACTTCGGCTCCGCCCGAAGTTAGCTTTCCTTTCTTGTTTTACTTTATGATACTTCAAAGTACAGATAGAGTCCTTTAGAGTCATTAAAGTTTGGTCCTGTACAAAAAAAAGACTATGTTTTTTCCGTCATTAAAAGCTGATTCAACACAAAAGCTTTGTACAAAATTATATAAAAATACTTTCTTTTCATCTTAATTGATTAACAAACTTTTTAGATCCCTAAATAATCCAAGGGAATATTAACTTTAGATGATGATTTATGATTTAATGTGAATATATGTTTTCATCCATCGAATTTTATTTTTCAAACAACTACCGTTAAAAGCAATGAAATTAAAAAAGCCGATCAAAGAGGTTTTTTTAACTTTATCGAAATAAAATATAGCGAAAACGACCCCTTTCTCTATTTTGGAGATGGAATTTCTGACAAAATAATCAGTAACAAAATGGAATGCTCTTATGAAATGGGCAATTTGGTTTAACGACCTTATCATTTATGTTATATTTTTTGAGTTATCGTTCGTTGTGTTTATACGATGGGACGCATGAATCAACAGTTGTTACAGTCTACATGTTTTTCTGCGATTCAAGGTTTTAGAATCAAATTCGATCTGAAAGACCCAAACTAGCATTATAGAAAGAATGTATGAAATTCAACAAAACAAAAAGATGCATCTAACTTCGGCAAGTCGAAGTTTTAATACCCTTGCAGATTGCAGTGCTAATTTATATTTTGGAAAGAATTAATTTTTTCCCTGCGCGATATTTCCCCTGAGACATATATTGAAGGGATACATAAATTAAAAAATTAAACAGCGAATTGATGGCAACTATAGGTTACAGTCGTCCGATCGGCTGGATTTTTAACATGATCAGTGTACATATAAAAATTGAGAAAGCTCGAACAATCTATCTTTTATAACCGTATGGTCAGTATGATGGATATATGGCAGCTATGAAAACACTAAAAAACATAATTTGGGCAAAAACCAGCGATTTGTACTCAATTTTAACATGATTGTTCAATTGGAGCTAGACGATATTGACGTCCGATCAGTCACTACTGTAGCTAAGTATAGTGCGTTGGTAAAATGTTGATTACTTTAGGCCAGCTCATCTAATTCTACTAACCGATTTTGTCTAGCCCGCAAGTGGGCCACCTCGCTAATTATGCAATGATGTGGGTCTTATCTACATCTCCCCATGCCTATGTATCTGAATCTGTCTGTATCTGTATCTGTATCTGTATCTGTATCTGTGCCTTTGTCTCTTTTTTGCTGCCCCTGACTCTGAAGCTGTTGGTATTGTCTTTCCGTTTAACTTTCACTCGGGCGATGCGAAGCTCTGTGGATGCTGTGTGCCGAAACGAAGCCGGTTAACGATATTTACCACCGCTCGGTGTTGGAGCCCCAGCTTTGAGCCCAGCTCCCAAATTCCCAGAGACCTACTTGACGAAATCTTGTTAATGAATTTGGACCACAGCATCTCGCGCATTTGTAATCGGCGGCCGCAAGGTGCAGTGCAGGTAATGATGATATAACCGCGTTTGCCTCACAGCGTCGGATCGCGTCGTTTTGGTTAGGTATTCGTTTTCATTTTCATTAACACAGACCGGAATCTGAAACGCTGGTCGCCTCACACCGCCCCGCGGCACGTCGCCCCGGGCAACGTGGGAAGCTCGGGCCCCCAGACTCGAATTGATAATAATGGAGCCGCCACTTTGCGGCTCTTAGCCGATCTGATCTCGGCCAGTGATGAAAGGGCCGTTAGGGCCACTAATGTGGGAAAGTGCTAGCTGGAGGGGGGCGCCATTTCCGGGCGGAGACTCACCATCATGCGGCTCCTGTAGGCTGCCTTGTAGAACTCGTTGAACAGGAAGAAGAACATGACGGCGTGCATGCCGATCCACCAGACGAACGCCTTCGGGTAGTTGCAGTCGATGAAGAGCAGCTGGAAGGCGTGCACCATGATCAGGATGAACTGGACCTGTGAAAGCGGGAGGTTAACTGTGGAACTGGCAGGGTTTCGGCACGGCAGCTCACCATCTGCAGGGTGGTCAGGTACTTCTTCCACCAGAGGTACTTCTGGTACTGCGGGCCCATGGCCGAGAACATGTAGTAGGTGTACATCACGATGTGAACGAAGGTGTTGAGCAGGCCGAAGAAGGTGCTGTGGCCACCTGGAGATGGGGAAATCGGGGTGGTCAGGGAGGTGGTCTGGGGACGTTCGAATCCCGCCGCTGCAACTCACCTGGGGTGAATTTCACGCCGAACCAGACCGACATGGGCATGCAGCCGTGATGGATGACATGCAGCGTGGTCACCTGGCTGGTCTTCTTGCGCAACACGAAGAAAATCTGTGGCGACGACGCACAACAAGTTGATTTATGAATGTAATTATCAAGCGCAGGCTCGCGGCTGGCTCTTTGATCTGTCACTCACCGTATCCATGAATTCTGTGAACTTCGAGAAGTAGTACCACCAGCAGGCATGAACCATCTGATTCAGGGAGAGAGGTATTTTATTAGCGCGGTGATAGAGAGTGTTGTTTGTAACATTCGTTTGGACTGAGCTTGCTTTTGCGCATTCCTATCCCAATCCAAGGAATGGTATAGCTCTACATGTTAAACAAATGCTGTTTTTCAATCTGAAATCGCCATTCATTACAATTGGAATTGGGACGCGCAGACGTGTCGGTTCCACCGGCAACATATCTAGACTCTTTTCATGACTACTGTTAAAAAATAATCAAAGTCCATTCAAACACATATGCAGACTCCTCGGGCCATAAAGAAATAGTAAAGAGAGCGTTCGAGATTCAGTAGGGTTATAGATTGTCTTTCAAAGGTGTCAAACAAATCTAACGTTAATCGGAACAGAGGGGTGGTAAACATTCAATTAAGAAAACAAGTCATTTAGTTTGGTTTAGATATATTACGGAGTTAAGAGACAGATATATGGATATATCGAAGTCGGATCCTTGAATCTAAATAGTTTAGTTCGGAGATAGTAAAAACGTTGACAGTTATGTACGGTTTACACATGCTAAAATCTGGGTTAGCATCCAAGTTTCGGGGTTAGCACTCGTTATTTGTTAGGATCTAAGCAAAAGCCCTTAACCCCACCACATCATAAATAAGATGTTGTGACATAATGAATGGCCCTTCTCCATGGGTACTACTATGTATATCTACAACTATGGGTAAATTTGCGTATGTGATTATCTATAGTTATTCGTGCACTCAAACCAAAATGGAAATAAAACGTAAGCAGAACTCTTATCTCTATTGTTATCGTAATCGTTATCTTACTGCTCGTGGCGGTTAACACGTACCCTTAACGTTCTAGGATTATTACTATAGTCGACTGGCTGACATCGGAAGCTATAATGTCCAGTTAGCCAACCGGAAATGCCTATCTGCAAATGTAGAGCACAGAAAGTCACTTTTATATCTTCGCTCGGCTCTGGGTTTGAAGGATGATTCGTGAAGGATATATTTATTGGCATCGTCACCGGATCTTGGCCGTCGAAGAGTCTTTCAGGTCGATTGTACGTGGCTGTTGGCTATTTATACAGGTGCATGTTTGGCGTTGTGCGGGTTAGTGTGAGTAAGACAGCACTTAGATGGTAACAACTTAGGCCTAAACGCGATGTTATGAATATTTAAAGCGAAATTAATCACCAGCCTTATCTGTAGGTCTTGATTTTTTGTTCTAGCATTTATATACAAAACAAATCAGCAGCCAAGACAGATCAGGACGCTTGAGTCCTGCAAGTTAGGGTACTCGATTGGGATTAGTCAAAGTCGGCGCTGACGTCCTGTGCCGCCGAGAGTTATTTAAATATACACTGTGGACAATACGTAGTTAATACAAAGGGAACGACTACGAGGCGAGGCGTGGCTGGTTAATACTCCAAAAAGCGTTGGCTAGGTCAGTGGCCAAATCAAAAACAATACATTAGGATTAGATTAAGCAGAAGCCGCGCTGGATTGCCTGATTGCAGATATAGAATGGTACGCGAATAACTGCGGGATCTAGCGATTGCTCTGAAGTGGTCAAGGCAATATTGAGGTCTGCACAGACTTATACTTGTAGGTACTCTAGCACAATGCCATGCGGGCCACTTACTCTCCGGGATGTGGGACTATCTGTGTAGTCCACCGGCTGGCACCGGAAGCTGTACGAGCCCCACCAGCCGCCCATCAAGCACTAGAACAGAGACATTAGTAGCAAAAACAGATTATAACAACGTGAAAGTAAGAGGCATCCTCCGCGAGTTCACAAGTCCACAAGTCCACGGAGCGGTCCAGCGACGATGCCATGCGATGAACGAAGCTGCTGGGGATTTTGGGGAGAGTGCGGGGTGGGACGGGAATACCTACCTCGTAAAAGAGCCACGCGCTGAATACAACCTGTATGGCATTGTACATGACTAGTGTGTTCTGCAGATGCAGCGGCTTTCGATTTTCCATTAATCGGGGTCCCAGCACCTGTGGACGAGAGTTTATATCAGCCTTAATCAATGGCCCGCTGACTTTGAGGTGTTTTTCTTTGTTATCTCTAGTCGTAAACCGATCTAAAGCTCTATCAAGTGCAGGAGCGTTCCCATGCAGGTGGGACTTGGGCAGCTGGCAACTTAGCAGACCTGGAAATCCAAACTCACCTTGACCAGATAGACGTATGTTAGGCAAACGGCCAGTGTGGGGAATGGGGACGACATCATGGGCCAGCCTTTTGTCCTTGAGTCTGGGGAGTAGAGCCAAATAGTTAGAGAATTCACTGCTGTTTCGCGGCTGCCCTTGTCTAATACCAGAAACTACTTTAGCAACAACCCCCCATTGTCAACAGCGGAAGTTGCAAGCGTCTATAAGATAAGCGATCGTCGTGTTCTTATCACTTTTATGTCATTGCCAATGGCCCTGATCTGGTTCATTTCGCAGCTCGTCAACAAATATGTAGGTAAATTCAGCCCTCAGGACCCTGATAAGTATGTCTAGGAAAGAACTTCATTCCAATCACTTAACCTCGGAAATTACCTTTATTCCTCAATATTATTAATTAAATTAACTATACACCAAGAAAACTAAACTCAAAAATTCGACGTTTTAAGACAAAAAACAGGGTAAAATCATTTTATGAAGTAAAGTAAATTATTTTGAAAGTAATGGTTTAAAATAAATTTGTATAAAGCGTTCTACTTTTTAAAATCTTTCAGCCCTGTTTTGCACCTAACACGTTTGCTAATTTGCTAATCACAAAATGTAAATTAAAAAATAAAATGTATGTAAGTAAATGAATATATCTAGTTGAAAACAAAGATAATGACGTATGTTAGCTAAATGTATTTTTTACCAATTAGTTAATAAGCTCGGATGTCCCCATCTTATACTCTGTGCAATACCGTGACCTATAACAGCAAATACATATATATTTATATAGAAACATATGCACAGGTGCTGTCAAAATAAACAAACTCGTCTGAAAATATCTGAATACAGTATGTAAGAAATGGAGTATGAGCGTATAAACCATTCTGAAACATCATTTTACAGAGTTTTTCGTACTCGAAATTGGTTAAACATTAGAACTGTAAGGATATACATACTGTGGCCGATAAAAATACGTTCTCAACACGTGAATGAAATATTGACAACTCTTAAGAGAAATTTAGATATAATATAATAGTATCCACATTTTTTTTTTTGCCTACCCATTCTTTCCCAGCCGCTGCCCAGCTCTCTTGGCCAATTAGAGAACGGGTGTCAAAAATTATCTATCATTTGGCCAAACCCTCTGCCGTTTTCAGAGAGAAAAGCGGGAAGGGGAAGCGACATTGACTTGTTTCCTATGTTGCTGTTGCTGGTCACAGTCCGGCGGAATCAAGGTTAGCCAAATTAGCAAATAACTCCCCGAGCCCCGATCCCCGAGAATACTTACCACTATGTGAGTCTATGTATCTGCTTATGCTGTCGATGTATTTCATAATTAAGGCCATTGTGTTGCTGTGTAGTGGTTGGTGCTTTTTTTCGCTGACAGTGGAGTCCTTCTATTCCTTTACTTTGTAGTTGGTGTTCCTCGTTGATTGTACAATTAGTTTGGTGGTTAAAGTCTTGACTTTCAGGAATCGCGGCCTGCTTCTGATCTACTTGGATTCAGTGTTGGAAATTTAGCGCATTCAATGCGGGGCCAGGCGTGTTTTCGAACTGGAATAATAGATGATGTCGAGAAAGAGGTTAACATATTGTCACAAGTTAGTATTTAGGTAATGTGTCGCCGGTTCTTTGAACATACAAAGGTCAGAAAGTTATCGTTCCATTTATGATACTAATTTTCACTACCGATTCCAACTTAAATTGGACCCACCGACGACCCATATCTGCCGACCCTTATCAGCCCTCATTAAACACCCTACACCTTCACAAAAAGCCGCGAATACCCAGCGAGCAGAGACGAAGCCAAAGTCGGAGGCAGAATCGGAATGAGGTTAACAAACTAAAGACGAAAGCTGCTCAGTCAGCATTTGATCGGCACATTTAAATCTTGTTTATAATTGAAGGTTCTCGTTTTGAGTTCTGGCTTTTGTTTTATTTTGTTTTTTTTTTTTGACAGCGCGGAATTTATATCTCTTATCGCGGGAACGGTTATCGCAAATCGATAAATTGGGCGAAAGCATTAGCCAAAACAGTGAGCGTCAGCACTGGGGTATGTGGCGTATGAGTAATATTCGTGCCCAAAAAGTTCAAGGACAACAAGCGAACACTTAGCACTCCGCGTTGGTTGACTGGAGCAGTCTTTCTCTATTTTTCCTCACTGTCTGCCTCTTTTTTCGGAAGCACTTTAAATCGCCTGACGAACACAGCCCAAATATGCCAGAGCTCGTCCCAAAACGAATGAGTTATCAGAGGTAATTATGTATTTGAACAGCAGAAATGCGTCGATATCCATTGTTGGCTCCAATAAAAAATCTTCGGGTACTCAGTAGAGGAGAATTTCTTTCTACAAACACGCACACTCGCTCCATCAACACAATATACATTCTCCTTTTCCATATCGAGTGAGTAGCTTCATGTGCACATTACTCATACGTCGCGTGGTACGTCACGCAAGTGTATTGTAAATGTTTAATAATAAAGCATGTTTGTATGCCCACTAAAGGGGGCGTTTGGGCGATAATTAGGAAAACTGACGATACTGCAAAAGGGTCTCGCACAATGGCCTTGCGAACGGCAGGCTACTAAGAACATAATTAAACCCCTTCGAGGGCAGTCTATTGCGTTATATTCCAATCTCAACTGGGTGCGCCAGTATTAGCTGGTTTTGTGAGCAAATGTGTGGAGTCCACTTATAGGCGTTGGCCAGAAGGAGTAAGGGGTGAAGAAGCCAAGGACTACAAGTAAGGCTGTGTGAGGAACCCATAAATCATATTTAATTTCTTCTTTCGAAGGAATGGGTTTGATTGAATTGAACTCTCTGCAGAACAGGATATGAGAACTGAACAATTGAAAACTTAAGTTATACGTATTCATTATCAAGTTTCGAACTTTAAATTCAAGGGCGTTCATCCAGCAAGTTCAACTCAGGCTAAAGGCGGGAAGAGCCAATGTTTGCCGAGTTGATGGGCTTAGCAAGCAATCGACGTCGAAACAAACAAACAAACACCTTTGCCAAATAAAAAACCAAAACCCCGACAAGAAAGTAAATTGAGCCACTGCCACCGAAAAGCCAAATTTAAACTAATTCAAAGTCAAAACAGGCGATACGAAGAAGACACGGCTACGGGCGGAAAATGCTGTCAACAATGAAAGCATAAGAAACTGGCACGAGCTTAGTGGGCGGATGGTGGGTGGTGGGTGGTGTGTGGTGGGCGGCAGGTGCACAAGGTCTGGCAATAGCTGGGCTTTGCCTTCGCCTGAATTAAAAGGGTTGAGGGTGGTCGCCCACCTCCGAAAACTTGCAGAAAGCGCACTAAAAAGCGATGGCAGCAGCAGTAGCAGCAGCAGCAGCAGCAGCAGCGACTTAAAGCCATGCCAAATATTGCTGTTTCATTGACCTGGTTTTGTTGTTTTCAGCTGCTTCTCCTCGCTGTAAGCCCACACAAGAGCCGTTCCGGAAAGCGTGAAGCAACAATGCACACATGGGCATGCAAGGGGACACCCGAACCGACCACCCCAGAGTTGGCCCATTCAGCAACACGCCGCCAAACCAAACCAAACCGGCGTCAGCCCAGGCGCCACGTTGCCCCAAACTCATCACGTGATTCCGACTAGGGTTTCTCTTCGCCTCTGGCTTTTCTGGCGCTTCTCGCTTTCCTCGCTTTTCTCGCTTTTCCCTTCGCTCGTGCGCAGAGGCTCGCAGCGCGTTTCTTGAATGAAAAAGGCGGCCACGAGAGCAAACCACCCGATTTCTGGTTGTGGTGTCTGCTGCCTGGCAAGGTACTGCGGATGTGGGCAGGGTGTGGATGGGGTTGGAAGGTGGGGGATGGTGTCTGGTGTCGCGTGACTCACCCGACGCACCTTCGACTTCTTGGCCGGGCCAAGAAAGCCGCCCGCTTGGCCAGAAGCGTAATGCCCGCCCAACACGCCATGAATGACGCCGAAAGGGCGCGTGGCGCTTGGCGCTTGGCAGTTGTCACAGTTGTTGACACAATGAATTTCGGAGGCACTGGGCCTCCCCATGCAGAGAAGGTGTCATGAGCCTCCTGACACCTACATTCCCGTTCGCATTTCCATAGGCTATTGATTTTCGCATCTAGTAGATTTTCCTGCTGATTTCCACACAGCTCAGGCACCCTTGAGTTGGCCCAAAGGCAGGCTTGAGTGATTGGCACATAAGTAATTGATGCCACTGGTCAAGTGATGTTGACCCCAAGCTGTTGCCAACAACACGAAACTTTGACATTTGTTCATCGAACTTTTGATGCCGGAGCGTTGCCTCTCCAAGTGGTCGCGTGTGTGGGAATTGCATCAGGGCAGCCGGTTCTTAAATGTCATTTGGGTTTTACGGCTTTGCAGTTTGTCAAATTTAACAAGCCTCATTTGTATGCGTATTTGCCATTCACCAAAATTTGAATTCGGATAAAAGGTTCAATCACTTTCTCGCAAGCAAATCGAAAGACGTCGCATATTTGCATATAATTAATTCATAATTAATTATCAAATATACTATGTAAATGACAAGCTGTTGCGCAAAAGCTGATCGACGACTGTCTCGAAATCTTTCGGTCAGAAGCAAGATCCCGATAAGCAATTTTTTCTGGATCGCAGAGAGTTATCTTGTTTCGATTTACGATTTTAACATTATCTCGTCTCGTCGTGTCCAACGACCGTTGAAGAGACACGAGCCGAGAATTTACCTTGTTCGCTGCACTTGACGGCTTTGTGTTTGGTGGATTCCCAACAAGCCGGAGTAACAACAGTCCAGCACTGGAGGCGATTGGCGGGCGTTACTCCGAGGTAATCACGGGGGGTAAGTGCTCAACGATTATTGCCGCAATTGTTGTTTGGCTGCGCCCACTGCTCGGCTTAGTGGGCCTTGCATTCCGGGTTTAGCACCGAGATGTGTGTGTGTGTGGATAGGTGGCTCCGAAATGAGTCCTTCGAAACACGGCCGCAGCTGGGATCGGACTTCTTCGAACTTCGGCGTGTGTTTTCGCGACGGGGCGAGAGGCGGGAAGTGGGCGGCGAGCGGGACAGAGGCGAACCGTCGACATCGACTTGCGGAGCACGACTAACTGGCTGCCACGGCGACTGACGAACTAAGGCCGCTGCGGCTCAGTCGCGGCTCAGCCGCAGTCGCAGTGGCAGTCGCGGTCGCAGTCGCAGTCGAACTCGTATTCGACGTCCAAAAAGCCGAGCTTGCGGAGCTGGCTGCGGCGTTGGCGTTGACGCTGGCGGGCCATTACGAATTAATACTCATTTCTTTGCATAGATTTCCTTTGTGAACTGGACGGAGGTGGGATGATGACTCTTAATTGTGGACCGTTTGGTCGGCTGCAGGGGAATTCGCAGTGCGTTGGCTGGCGGACTCCCGGCTGCACCACTCCCTTCGATTGGGAAACCTCGCTTTTCGAAAAAGACCTAAATGAAGATAGTCGGCGAGCGCTGACAACAGGTGAACACCATGCGCTGTCGCAAGAACGACGCTCGACGCTCCGCGCCGCTCGGCTTTGCGTGAGGCAAGGGCCGCCGCTTGATCATGATCGATTTCAGTGGCAGGTGATGGCTCGCATACCAAATCAAAGCTCCGCACTTGTCGATCAATTAATTATTACGGCATTTCACACATACTCACACCGGGACGGGACGGGATGGCCTGGGTTTTTTATGGCTTTCGGGTTTTCATTTCACGTTTCTCTTTTGCTTTTTGTTTTTGGGACTTTTGCGCTCAAATCGAATTCATGGTCAAACTGTTTACGAATGTGTGTCGCCAAAAAGAAGCCACAGCAGCAGGCAACGCGGGCAACGAAAGGCAGCAAACAACAACAGGTTGACCTGATGAAATGGAAATTGAAACGCGTTTTGTATTTTGACGCAATAATCTATTTCGGCCTTTGTTATTTATTGGGTCGCCCAGTAGAGAAGAATGCCATTTCATAATTTCGAAACGCTGCTGTCTCTGTTTTCTAAGGCGGCCCACACAGCCCGCGAAAATATTCAAATACACAGTCTAACCTCCATAACTTAAACTTTCCTCATTTTCCCACTCGATTATGTCTCCATAATTCAAACTTCCGCAGCTAAATCTTTTAACTTGAACACGTCTTATTGAAATTGTATTCGTGCAACCGAAAGGCATGCGACAGAAATCAATTTACGTATCTTGGGGAAAATCAAATTTGTAAAGTCGTGCATTGATTAATTAACCAAAAACTAACACATTTGAATCTGTTTGTTTGAGTCAGTTGTTTAGAATTGCTCAATAAAACTTCATCTTAACGGAAGTACCCTTAGGGAATTCACAAAAAATAGTTTTATGGAAATTTAAGGAGAAAGTATTAGCAAAACAAAAATAGCCAAAATGTTGAGTATACACTAAGTAAACTAAAATTGAATCCATTTCTGAGAACTTCTGAAATCACTCACTGATTACCATTTAGTTAGAAATTTCAAAATACAGTACTTAGAACTATATTCTCAATTGGGCGTAAACAATTTTCTTGTATGGCTTTATAATTTTGAAGTCTTTATCTGTAGGTTTCCTAATCAGCATTGGTGTTAAGGGGAAACCCTTAAGATAAACTAACCACCAACTCAAAGCTTTTAGATCGGTGGGTGGATTGTGGATTGAGTTATGGCAGTTCGAATGCGGTGTGTTCAAACACACGTATATTGAGTTGCAAGGCGGGCATGCATTTCGAGCGGGAGGTGGGCGGTGATGGCAGTGGGCGGGACGAGCGTTTCCGCTGGCAGATTGATTCGAAAGCGGGCGGCAGCGGAGACTTGTTGAGGGGTCAGGTCGCCCCGCTCGCCAGCCGCACTTTCTCCGCCCCTCTCGGCACTTTCGCAACCGCTCTTCGGCGCACTGCTCTGCTCTCTTGCGACTAAGAGCAGGGGAGCAGAAGAGAGAGCGGTTCCTTTGCTTTGGGTGCGAGTGGGAGCGGAGCAGAGTGTCTTGGAATTATGTCATATCTTTACACACATGCGTTACAACAACGTGACGATACTCGGCCGTTCTGTTGGGACTTTCCGTATCTGATATCTGATAGTTTCTGTTCTGGCCGGGTGCTTCCTAATCTGAGGTGGTCGTTATCACCTCGATTAGCTGGCGGCCCCTGCCCAAAAGCATTCCGGCTCGCGGGTGAGGGGGTAACAGCGAGAGGGACAGCAAGATGTTTTCTGTATTTTCTACACTTCCAGTGCTGGCAGTCGCCGCACTTGGGTCAATTAAAGTCGAAAAGCCGTGCAACGGGGCTAATTGGACGTTTGGGGCACGGGCCCGGGGGTCAGGGTGCAGCATTAACTGGTTCCGCCTGACACAGCTACGGCTGATTTGGCTGATTTTCTGATTTTCGGGGCCGAAGACGACACTTGGCGCCTGTTACGTGGTATCGGTATCTGCCACGCGCAGCGCAACCGACGCAACACACAAGGACACTTCACTGACACAAGGAACTGCACGCACCGAACTGTCGGACAGCCAAAAGCCAGGCACTAGCACTCCAAATCGAATCGAATCGCCATCAAAATCAAAATCGGAATAAACACTTTACTTTGAGTTCGTTTTGCAGTGGTAGTATCTCGGCAGCAGACTAGGAATTTGGTGTGGAAATCGCTCTGGCCTGACCCAAAAAGCGAACCAGACGAGGAGGCACAACCCAAAGCGAAATGCGAACTGAGGCCCGTTGCTCTGCCGAAGAGCGGGCGAACCCCGAATCCGAAAGCCAGCCGCTGCCGAAGAGAGCCGGGCACAGCGCCAAAGAGATACGAGCAGATGTGTATCTGTATCTGGTGGATGACAAGCGGCAAGAAGCAGACCGCCTGGGCAACCGATATGAAATGGCAAGGCGGGCAAGAAGAAGCACCAGCTGTCGCAGCGGTACTTTGGCGCTCGGTCTTGCGTCACGCGCTGTCCAGCAACACCAACGTTCTCTGTCTCTCTCTTTTCTCTCGCTGTATCCGCCAGATACATTGGTTAAAATACCGGCTGTGCTCTTAGGCTGCTGATAACGAATCTGGGCCTCTCTTTGCCACTCTCTGCTGCCAGGGTTGCCATCGCTCGAAGTGCCAGCTGCCGCCAAATAGGTAAAAGTAACTGACGTGAGTGAGGTGAGAGGTACGGCTCAAAAAGAACAACACTGGGTACGGTACACAACGGCTCACATATGCATGTGTACTGGCATTATGTCATCACGAGCTTTAGTTTCCCATCCCACCCACACCTGGTCTCTCTCACTTTGTTGTCATTGCTTTCGGCTCGCAAATTGTTTGTAGTTTTCGGGTGTTGCTTGCTCTCGATTTGTTTTGAACCACCCCTTAACTTGAGCCCACAGACACAAAAACAAACACGCAACACAAATACATAGGCACTAAAAGGACACCACGGGTCAGTGTGTTTAGTTTTCGCCCTGCTCTTTTCCAAGGAAATGAACCGGAAATGATGTTACCCCTTCAGCACTAAAACAAATGCTCCCTGTTTTCGCCAAGCAAAATACATGCATATATGGTTGAAATTAACCACTTTAAATAACTTACTGGTCTTATCTTTGAGCATAATTATTTTAATTTTAATTATTTCACATTAATTAGAATAACAATATACTCGGTTTCTAATTTAAAAGCTTGAAAAGTCACAGTCAAACATTTAAAATAACACATGTAAATCTATTAAAAACGTGTGCATAAATGCATTCAATATTTGCATCTTTGTTAATTGACTTACATTTTGTTTAATTAATGCAACGCTCAGCACTCACTAAAATTAGTTTCAATTAATTGAGTGAAGTTGTGTTTATATGTTCAGGAACTACATATGTGCATATATGCAACTAGTTATTGTACGTTAAAATTGGCAATTAACCCAGCTAATAAAGATAAATACATTTGTAATTTATTTATTTTTTACATATGTAGTTATCCGATGTTGATATATCAAATTCTTTTTAAATCGAACTATATTTGATGTCAACAAAATAATAAAGTCGTTCAATCTCGATAAAATTTAAACTTTCTCTCAAAAATTATTTGAATAAAACCAGAAATTGTAAATTAAAAAGCCTAACGTAGAATGAGTGGTTTGTTTTGAAAACTTTTTTTAATTTGATTATATTTTTAACCAACTGCCACTAGTTATTGAACAGTGATTATAGTTTTTCTAAAGATTTTATGTCGTAGAAAAGTTTTTTGAAAGCTTATCCCTTTTCTTTTTAAAAAAAATCATATACATATGTAGGTAAGACATAACCAAACGTTGGTATGACTTTTGTTCGTATTTCTGGACGTATTACACCACACTGCCAATCGGCCTAAAGCGCTTAGTTAATTTCCATTCACGTGTAAAAATAAGAATTTAGTAGCTGTCAAATCTTGTGAAACCAAAGAGTTTTCTTAGATGCCGATTCGGGTTCCTGCCTGTTTATTTCTCTCTGGCCATTGGACTTTGCAAATTCGAAGCCAAGCCGAAGAAGTCAAAATAGCTTATCTACGTGATTGGGCTGTTCAAACTGCCCGATGGCCAGCGGCGCCTGCGCCCTTGACTCACTTGTGTTGGCCTGGCCCGGGCATGCGCGGAATACATATGGCGGGTGAGCAGCCACTGGCCATCGGGATTGGGATCGGACTGCGGTTATGTGAGGGAACGACGACTCCGCCCGCGGTCGAGCAAGGCGTTCGCCAAGCCAGCCCAGCATCCGGCTATAAGCTAATTTTAATTGCCGACTTTGTGGCCGCGGATGATGAGGCCGGAGCAACCGATATCGATACCAATGGAGCTGGAGCTGGAGTTGTGCAGGCATCGCAATACCTGGCTTCGATTTCGCCGTCGACGTTACAGTTACTTGACTGTGGCAACGCAGTAGCCACCGCTGGCGTTTCATTTACGAAACTTATTAATCGATTTATATGCGCCGACACAACACAGCGCAACACAACACAACACACGGGTAGGCGAAGCGACCCAAGCCAGGCAGCCCGAGAAACTTGACGCCACAGCACCATGGTGCATGCGGGACCAAGGTGAGATGTAGATTGGCCTTTGTGCCCGATCAACAGATACCGATTCGCGATGTCACACATCGGAGT